TGTGAAAAGCGTCTGAAATTGTTTTATAGCGCAAACGACAAGAGATCGGAGTGATGCAATAAGTATATATTCAGAGAATCACTTTGCTTCGATAATAGAATCAGTAATCTAACGGATATTGAAATAATGCTTTTTTCAAGGCTTCGGTACAGGACTTCTTCAGAGTGTTGATAATTATAGTTGTTTCTCTTATAATTAGGCGATTGGTTTATCTGAACATGAATGTAATGATACAACCGACGTAAGTATCGATACTATTTTCCCATCGTAAAGCACTCTATTTGTCATATATATATATTGTAAAAAACCTATAATAGTTAAGCACTCTATGTTATAATATGTATTGATAAAAAAATCAAAGTCTCATATTTAATCATAGTTGGGGTTTTTTTCCAGCCACAGTGGACCCCTTGTCGGATAAAAGTCTTTTCTATCGCATTCAGTGACCAGGAAGAAAATGCATACATTTAACTAATATGTATATTATTTGAATAAAATATTGTTAATAATGTTTTTTTTATTTCAAATAAAATGTACCTGAAGGGTATAGTTAATATGTAAAAGAAAAAAGCAAAGGGTAATGGTTATATAAATTTTGACATGTTTATATTAAAGTTATCGTCCTGCACACATTGTACCTTCTCTACTTTTTCTTATAAGCAAAATAAAACTGGAATTTTTATTGTTTTCAAATTAAAGGAGAAAGCAGCTCTGCATGACCATGACATATATACATACAATATGAAAATAAACTTTAAAAATGGTATCATATCGCATAACTTAATTCGGTTGCTCAAGGTATTTATATGTTATAATGTCGGTGACCTATTTTCACAAAGGCAGTAGTCTCAGGACAAATAACTTTAAATTCGCTATGATTTCGAATCCATCTCAAATATTTACAGTTGATAAACAAATTTACGCGTCCCTTTGATCAAAGGATAGTGTTGTGGATTTATTTTAGTCAATCAAATCACCTCTTTTGTTCGAATAATATCTTCAAAACATTAAATATTTATAATATATCATCAAAGTGTTATATAATGACACCAAATTATACCCTATGAGGTGAAATTTGTTTTTGTTATGTTTCTCGTTCATATTAGGGGTTTTATCCAATGGTGCAAGTACCTATGTTTCTCATAAGGGCTTTTCATCAATGGTGAAAACTACCTTCTTTTTTTGGTATGTTTCGTATTCTTATTTTAAAAAAATCTGCCATGATTTTGTGGCGTCATTATCTTTATATCTATAGCATATTTGCTTATAGACTTATAGGTATAATATAGGACATGATGAAAAGGTGTCAACGAAGTGTTTACAATGTGGAATACAAATTCAATTTTGGCCGCCATGACGTCATATGTCAAATTATTTCTAAAATGGCCGTGACTCAAAACCTATTGATTATGCAGCGAACATGGTTTACATCCTAAGTTCATGTTATTCAAGGTTAACTTTGTCATGACATGTTCATACAAAAAAGGTCAAATACAAATGCTCGCTGTTGGGTTTTTTTAATGTTTTTGTAGTGGGACAGAAATTCAATCCTGTTTACATCCTACGTCATTTTGAATTTTTGTTTTATCTTTTTGAAAAGCCGATATGGTAAACCTGTTATTTTTTAATGTCTGCTACGCAGATTTTATCTGGTTAAGGTATTTATGTTTGCCCATGCTACTTACCAAATTTTTCATAGCTTTTATCTTGATCGAAAATCCAAGATTGCCGTCTTGGCAGGATATCCGTTTCTTGCCCAACTGCAATAAATCCATTTCATCATTGCATATGCTATGTAGACCATTAATAAAATGTTTAGATGGTTTGCTATCAGGTTTGAGAAAAAAAATGTCTAGATACACTTTCAATGTCATAGAGTTCAAAGTTTAAAAAAAAAAAATTAAAACCAGAACATTTAGAGAGTATTTACATTACGTATTTTTAGACCCATTGACAAAAATGACTAACATTTTTGCATGACACAGGTGACCGCATCACTGCGTATGAATACACCACAATGATGTAGCACAGGGCGCTCTTGCTTCACGCTGCCTTGAAACAGCTCCGATTTAGTTTTGTTATGCTAATATGAATTAACATTTGACATGATTGGCTTGATTGTAAAACTAAAATATAATGTGTTAAGTATATGTAAAACACTTTGTTTTATCTACTGTGCTGCCCCCATGTTTAAATCGAAAAAAATACCTGTATTTGTTTTCATTTATGCTAGCATCGAGAAATTCATAGCACTTAAAAAATGTCATTTTTCAACATTCAAGAGGTAAAACCTTGGCTTTCTGGACATATTTACTATGAATCGCTGATGTTCTGCTAGGCAGATTTTACGAGTGATGGCGAGTACTTCGATTATTTTAAACGAAACACAAAGCTACTTTCAGTACTATAGTTTACATGATCCTTTCTACAAAAAAAGGTAAAGACCATCAGTATAAAAAGGCTTATGGTCAAAGACATATATATATATATATCAGTATGGGTCAAAATAGTAATCTAGACGGTAAAATCCCATATTACACTGGATCCTAATGGAGGTTTGTCCGTAGGATACGAGTTACTTAAAATATTATATGGGGCAGAATTGATATACTATAATATACCGGGCCAGATTTCCAAATGCACACAAATGCACATGTTCCACGTTTTTGATATCTCTCGTTGACTCACTTTATATGACAATACATCTTGCGCAAGAATAGGTCCTCTACATCAGCGTTCCTTGTCCGCGATGCTCTCAGCTTAATTGCTGCCTTCGGCTGTCTTTAGCCGAGGGGACTATTGGTTTTTTCAATTATAGTATATGAATTCTATCTTCTTGTAATATGATGTATATGTACATGTAACTGTTCTGTTTCACTGTGTCTTGAAAAAGGAGCGGATCGCTCCGAAAATTTGACAACCTAAACTTGTCCACACTGTTGGAATTACTTATTTGCCCCATATATATATCAGTAGTAATAGCTAGTTTTTTAAAGGTATTTCATGTCGTAGTAAGTTTCATGGTGATTGTTTGTTTCTTTGTTGTAGGTAGGACAATGTTATTGTTCATGTTTCGGTCTTGAGGAAAGAGCGCATATCCATAGATACATTTATGTTGTTGGTCAATGAATTTAAATTGACGGCGACATTGACACTGAAAAATATACAAGTTTTACTGAAAATGAGAACACAACACTCGTGACCATCTTGTGCTATTAAACATTCAATATTGCTATCAGGGTAAGATTTAAGTTATTTAACATTGCAAAAAGCGGTAGGATTATCTAAACATGCAAAGAACATAAATTAGAAGTACAATGGGTGTAGACAAAAGTAAATTCAAATATTATCGTATCAAGTTTGCTGAAAACTAGAATGCAAGTTTGTTGTGAGTAACCACTGTTTCCTCAGATGCTCTCAGAATTATTCTGCGTTAAACAAACTCACTTGGTTTGGAACTGTGTCTAACTAATAACCAGAGTAAAAAAGCACAGTTCCGGACTTTTGGGAGAAATAAATATTAACATATAAAGATTAATATGTTCTTCTTTCTCGCGAGCACCTTATGTGATAACATTTCCTAAAATATGCACGTGAATATAGACCCTTTGTATATGCAGAAATATTAGCATTTGTGTTGAAGTCCTTCTAGATAACAGTACCAACTCAAAATATTGTTATGATTCAATAAAAGCAAGTATTTTGAAATATTACTACATGTACCGAAATATGACCGCTGACCTCACTATGAAAGCACAAGCCCCCCTTCACGTCAACAAATATGTTTTTAAATCTGTGTTAACAACTATGAACTGATCAATAAGAAATCACACTTTAATTAAATGAGGGTGCTGGAAAAAAAGTTGGACACCACACTGTCTCCGTGCCATGGCAATACAGGCGATAAATGACTGAGGTTTTGAATCAAGACACATATTTTTTTTATTTCGGGCAACCGAAGTGAGTCTTCTATTAGATCCCATAACAGTTCTTTTTCAACAGTACAGAAAAAATCGCTGTTCTCTACACCAGCTTCCGTTGCAAGTGGCAAAGCAGGTCAAATCACCCCGGCTCGTCGGCCAGTCCCCTCAGCGACAGAAGGCCTAATACATGCCGAATGCCCCGACAATGAGCTTGTCCCTATGTCACAGTCGGTCGACACAATAATTCAGTCAACAGCATCTTTTAAATCGTCATTTGGTTTCTTAGTTAACTCCACATTTCACGGATGCACTTTTAATTTCCATTCACTCATCTCGTTGACATTCCAACCGCATTGACGCCTGATGAGCTAGCCATTGCACAACCATTTATCGGCCAGCTACCTTCGCGAACACGGACTGAGTATTTGTGTTTCAAGTTAAGATCTACTGTCAATTTTAACGATAATCAATGCTTGGTAAACATGCTGGTATGTAAATAAAATGATAAAAATATGCAAGGTGGGACTATTTGCTTATTGCCCAACTGTGTATTTCTTCACCATTGACAAGCATCATCTTTTCTCCGAAAAAGGCTGTTCAATTGATGCTGTTTTCAGGACGGTTTATTTCTTTTTTTTCTTGATTTAAAATAATGAAAGTGAATGTAAATAGAACGTAAATAATAAAGTTGAACGCGCCTCATGGAATATGTTTGATCGGAACTGTGTTCAATTAATAACCTCATAAATGTTGAAAAGATGCATTTCAAACCTTAAATAATGAAAATTATTGTTTTAGCTTCGGTTAAGCACGTCACGGCTCTCCATATGGATGTGCTTCATTCTTCAGAGGTATCAAATAAATCATTGTATTATATAGTGTTCTAAAATGGGTTGTTATTGTCAAAAACATTATACGGTGACTGAGTGCAGATCAAACAACGTTTCATGATTAAACAAGTGTCAATAGTACTACAAACGAGCACCTGTTTGGTCAGTTAAATGTCAAAAGGTCACCGTCTTGGCTTCCGCCTTATCTTTATGTGTCAGTAACCTTTATATAAAACCTTTACCTTACTCAATATAAAAATACATACTGGAATCATGAGGGGACTCAGCATTGCTCTTACTTTTCTTCCTCTGCTTTCTCATGGTAGGATTTATTTTTATATTTTCTTATCTTTTTTGGAAGATAAATACCAATATACATTCGGTGTAATCTGAAAAGAAGTCATTAATGCGAAATAGTACCTGATGACAAGTAAAAAGCTCAATATGAAATTCGATCTTGATAAAGTTTATCTGTAACAGGGGCAGTAATTGGTCAATGAGTGCACACGTGATCCAATAAAGCTAGCGTTATATCTAATAGATAAGGATTGCGTTCGATATTGTACAGCATTCATAGATATATAGTATTTGGGTGGTCGGATGGTGATGTGGATAGCGCACTTGCCTTTCACCAAGGCGGCCGGGGTTCGATTCCTCGATCGGACGTGAAAAGGTATGATGTCACCTGCCCGACCACGTGGGTTTTCTCGGAGGACTCCGGTTTCCTCCCACACAAAGACCCCTGCGCGCTAACATCCAGTGCCAACAAGAGTGATTTATATAAGTTGAAAAACTTGTTTCATAATTTTTGTAAAATAAATATAGTTTATATTTATATAGTCTATGTGCGATTGTTTTGCTCATTCGGATTTACTTGCATCATTTACCATGTTGTTCAGCGGTTAGATAGTGCTTATTAAACCATCATAGTTAGGAATTTCAGGGTAAAGAAAACAAACAAAAGTGATCAACTGAATTTCACATGTCTTGTAGTTTCGGCAAACCTAAAATTCGATTTTGATATTCACATTTCAAAACACCGTGTGCCGTTATCTGAGATTGCTAAGCCACACGTACATTTAAAAGATTCTCCCTTTTTCTGATTCTTTTTCAATATTTGAACTCCACAGAAATATAAATTCCTGTGTTTAACACGATGTTACTATTGTTACTAGCTTTGTAATCTTCATCTAAAACCTGTATATGAATAATGAAAAGGAAGGCGTAAGACATCATATTGCTATAATTGTTTGTGAATAATTTTACAATATCAATGGTAAGGACGTTTGATTATTGCATTACTACGCCAACATAGCTTATCTTTGGAAACTTTGTTTCGTTTCATTTTGTCAGGTAAGGGTTTGCAATTATTGATTTACCCCAGATTTATACAGTGAATCATATTTATATGCTGAACAGGACATGACTTTGGTCTTCTACGGCCACTGATGTAGCAATTAACTTGATGAAAAGATATGTATAAACTGTTAACCGTTTGGTATCACTGTAGTTTGTGGAGCCTGTACTGGTGGTTGGCACTCGTTTCATAATGGGGGCCCGTGCTTCAAGGTGTTCCGTGAACAAGGAATAAACTGGAATGAGGCTAACGTAAGATGCACATAACGGGTTTTTTTGTAAGAATGTATCTATACATTTAGCAAATAAGAAAATGGAGAAAAAATCGTATGGTGGTTTATCTATTTAATGTTTTGCGATATTGATTCTGTGACTGTGACTTTGACAGTAAAGATGTTATTGAACTTCACATGAACATTTCAAGATTTATTTCAGGAATACTTACATGCATGTTAAGTTTCATTAATTTTGGTTGAACAGTTTAATAACAAATCTGCTTAGAAGTCAAATGTTGACAGACGGACAGACGCTAGAACGTGCCTTGACCTAAGGTACACTACGACATGTTTTGTCTCTTTGCAATCTTACAGAAAAGATGTCTGGCATCTGGGACCGTCCTGGCACAAGTACCGGACCACAGTACCCACACCCACCTCATCAACCTTATATGTAAGTAAATCTACATAACAGTGCCAAATGGCATTATTGAATGTTATATGATTTCATACTATATTTTGTTATAAAAAAATATTTCCTCCTGATATATAAAATTGACTTGTTCATATATTCGCCTTTTGTTACATGACGGCTTGGTACATTCGCTCTCTGCAACCCTGCAATATGTCATAGCAAAATTGAAGGCTCGGTATGTGCCACATTGTGGGTGAGACAAGAAGACTAATTTGATCCTTCGATGTACATCAAACAAATCTAGCGCTCGCGTAACGGTAAAACGTGAAGTCGGGCATCGCTCCTCTGCAAGCTTCAAAGAACAGGTATCAGAATAGTGATTGGTCAGCGGTTTTTACCCAAGATCGACCAACTAGATAGCCGTCAATTTTGTTATGGCATATTCCAGTGGTGCAGAAAGCATAAGTGAGCATTAACCCTGGAGTATCCAGAATGGAAACCTAAATGCTGTATATTTTAGGGGATGTCGAACTAGAGTACTTACCTGTATACAACACTTTTTATGTTATTGTTTAAGACATAGAGATTATTATCAAATAAATTACATTATTAAAATGTTTGTGAAAATTGCAACTATTTGATCACATACAATGTTGCCAATTTAGTTTAAAGATGGAGGATCTTTAGTTTAATCATCAAATATATATGTGATCAGTTGGTATATGCAAATTGCTTCATGAAAATGTTTCAAGTAATTCAGTATAAGAAAGAAATAGAAACACATGAGTCGGAATTTGCATCGAGTTAACATTTTGATGAAAAGTAAATTCACATTGATACTATTTTGCTATCTGATTCATGGTATTTCAATATCATACAACAATATATAACAGTTCACGTGATATGAATATTACTTTTGTTATGTGATTCATATATATTTTTCTTTCAAGCGTCGGAGCACATGGCTGGGTTTTTCATGATCGGTGCTACTAACTGGGGAGGCAGCTGGAAATGGACTAATCTCGGTAGTCACCTAACTTCTAGTCATAGTTATTGGCTGTCGGGTCAGGCAGACAACTACTGTCCTCCCTTCCACATGTGTCATGAAGGTCAACATTGTGTAGCTTATAGCAACAAAAACAGTGACCACTGGGGCTGGGACGACATCACTTGCAGTGTTTCTATTTATGATTATTACATTTGTGAAAAGAATGCTGACGGGTATGTATCTTAGTCTGTTTTATCAATTAATTAAAAGGATCGTTCTCTGAAGTCCTTGATAAAACATATGTATTTATAAAATTCATTGAAAACAATCGAAAATATTGTCACAACCTCGTTGGGGAAGGAAATGTCCTAAACGGCTTATACAGTGTACAACCTTAGCAGATAATAAATCGAAGTAAAGTATCGATACGTTTTGTGTACCATACGACAATTTAACAAAATATGAAATTACAAATATACTGCTGTTTTTCCATCATTAAGCACTGTGTTTGTAAGATACCATAATCTCATCTTTAACCATTGTTTTCTTTGCTTCAAGCCAAAGTGGACCGATTGTCGGATAAAAGATGTCTCTCCCGCATTCAGTGACGAAGAAGCAATCGATACGTTCCATCAAATATGTATTCTATTTGAATAAACTGTGTTTAAATGCAATGTACCTGAAGGGTTTAATCATAATATGAGAGCAAAGAACGAAGGGATAACAGTTATATGAATTATGATACGTTTATATTAAAGTTACCATACCGCTTACATTCAGCAGGATAAGGCTTGTTAATATCATACTCGGGGTGTGAAATGTGTCAAAGATATAAAACAAACAGGAATATTTGATTTTCTTACGTGCCGTTAATAATTCGATGATTTACATAATGACATGCATGCCCTAATGGGTCCCTTTCAAATGATGATATTTCTTGTCAAATTTTGGCATGCTTCTTCTGTCATGACGATCATTTTTGTAAATACTACTTTTAAATGAATTATTCAGTTACTTAGCATACTAAGTGACGTAATGGATCTTTATCAATTTAGATAAAAGCACGTGTATTGTATATACGTTACTTCTGACTTCAGTTTAATATTAGGTATGGTAGTGAACAGAGTAGAATATCATAGCAAAAACATTTGTTAATGAGTGAGGAAAAGATCTGTAGAATTCCTTTAAATCCACATTCCAACAATTCCGTTTAAGATGCTAAGAATTGTGGTGAGAAGTCTTGGTTGAACAACTAGCGGATCCAGCATTAAAAACGTTCTTGTAAAGTTTCAGAATCCAATGCAAACGAGGCAGGTCCGTATTCTTGTCATTACTAGGTTTTTGTTGACCGTGTTGAATGAATAAGTTCTGTACCTATAGAAAGAGATATCAACTGTTATATAACCGTTGTTGGACATTAAATAAAAATTATATGTAAACCTGAAATCATCATAATTGTAATAATGCGCGATTGGCATGGAATACAAGTATATGAACTCTGAAATGATTATGTCACGTATGGAAACATAAAGAATCAAACATGGATGTGGTCCGAGGTTTGGTTGGTTTGGTTTAGTATTGTTTAGCGTCCTATCAACAGCTATGGTCATTTAAGGATTGCCTCCGCTGTGTGCTAGATGCATGCGTGAAGTGTATGCGTGTGTGTTTTGGGAGGCTGCGATATGTTCGTGTTTGTCTCTTTGTGATAGCGCGGAACTGATGCCGACCTTATAGTGCTGCCTCACTGAAACATACTGCCGAAGACACCCAGCAGGACATTACACGTGGTCACATTATACTGACAACGGGTAAACCAGTCGTCCAACTCCTAAATTGCTGAGCGTTAAGCAGGAATAAAAACTCTTGGCTAGGGGACAGAACCAAAAGCCTTCCTCACCGGGGCGAACGCTCAACTAAAGGTCAAAATTGAGGCATTGGCAAGGGAGACATTAGGAAGAAGAAAATTGTTTAGAAAGAAGAGAAACGATAAGATCCCAAATTTAGTCGTCTTTTACGATCATGCAATGGGGGTTTCAGTCAAATCCGTGAATGCCGACTCTTTGGTTTACATTTGATACATACTGACATTGCAGACAGAGTTCCGGGCAACGGTGCTTACCTGGACGAGAACCACAGCCAAAGCACGCATGTCTTCCTGCTGAGACTTATTAAAATCGATTCAAGTAAGTGGGGTTTCCTTCATCAATTACTTTTGATACTCCTTTAATAAAATAATATTAACTATTCTCAAACTGTTAACTGACAAAAATCTAACATTGTATGGCATTGCCAATATAAAACCTTGCCACATTCAGATGGCATTCATATCAACTATGAATGTTATGACCCAACTGTTGACGTCATCATTATAATGATGTCAAATATGAAACGTTGTATAACACTGACCCACACAGGACAGATTGCTGCTCTATTCATTGAACAACGATGCAATCATCAATTTGGGCTAAATGCTGAACTTTGAAAAGTTGAAAAAAAAATATTATTCCAAAATGGTAAATGTTTACCATTTATACATTGTTATCAAAGACACAAAAAAACGCAAACACCAAATTAGCTACTATAATATTTTATTTTCTAAGGTTTGGCGATTGTATGGCAACGGTTTCATACAGATGTGGTTACCGACTCTAAATTAGAGTCATACGGCAAACCAAACTGAGATAACTGCAGATTAACTTGATCAAACTTATGCAAAATTGCAAAACTTTTTGAAATAAGGACAAATTAAGTGAACACTGTGAACACATGTACACCTCATTTTCCCCATTTTATCAATTACTTATTCGACAATAACTGGTCCCATTAGAAATATTTGTAATTCAAGTGAACACAGGAAACAGCTGTACACTTAAAATTAATTATGCTTGTTAACTTCACAAACTTATTTCGAGTGAAACTGTTCATTGAATGACAACTGGTCAATATGGTAAAAGTTTGCACTGAAGCGGTTCTGGTACCCGGTGTTGCCTCAAAAGACCGACATGGCAATGCCAGTCACTCAAAACAATGACAGGCATTGCCAACGCTATCATACCGCAAAATTAAAATCAAACATCAGATACCCGCTACTACTAGGAGGTGAAGCAACTCAGTAGTTAGACTTGGCACCTTATGCCGCCACAGCCAAATAATCGCAATCCCACACCCAAACCTGACAACAATTTACATATAAACATTTTTTTGAATTTTTCCAAGACGCTGCTGCAAACGGTACAAGAAAATGTCATTGCCTAACTCAGACAGATGGACCTTGTCCACAAAAGACCAGGGCAATCTTTCTGTATCTCAGGGTATTTGCCACTTTGCTATTGACACTCACCCTGGCCCAAACAACAGCCTTATGAATAATTTCATTTCGCCACTCCAACCGAGGTAAAATTTGTGACCAAACAAACATTGTCTCTCCGGCATCAACTTCATTAATCTGACCATTGATTTCAATATAGAGTGGCAGAGGTCACAACTCACAAGTTGCTCAAGATCATTCCCACCAGAGTGAATTACCATAATCCGGGGAACTTCCTCGACCGTCAACAGATGTCTAACGAAAGGCTCCAGTTCTCTTCAACGTAGACCACATTTCCCTTGCCACCATACACTGGCATGGTAGCGGCTCAGCCCAAGGTGAAATCCATCCCCCGACTTCCTAGCATGGAAAATGGTCCTTTTTACTTAAATAGAGAAATTTAGATGCTAAAGCTTAAAATTGTTGACAAAAAAGATTGTGCTTATCATGGATTCTGAGATAGCATGAGGAATTTATAGGGAGATAACTCTGACAGTCATATGCTCAGCTAGGCCGAGGTGACAACCCACCAATAAATATAAATTTGTGCTTAGATAAATCAATTTAATTTTTATCATTAAACCTTAATATATCATAGTTGCATTGTTGTCCAAGAAAGTGTTATCACAACTATAATCGTTTTCAAAGTGATTTCCATACGAAATTCCATTACCATTAATTCACCGCTCCCAACCACTTGTGTAGCACGTTTTACACAAAGGACTTTGAAACGGATGCGTCTCTAGTTTAACAACAGTAACAATTGCAATCACATTAAATTTAACAAAATAATCAACTTTTTTAAACACAAATCTAAATAAACACATACATAAAGTACCATTTATAATATAAACGTCAACATAAGTATAAAGGCTATCTCATTCTAGTAAACACCTTTTCAAACTTAATATATAATATTATGTGCTGATTGTGACAGAAACATCTGTAATGTAAATGGTTGTTTCTGCTATTTGCTCTCACTAGATTTCATAAACATCTGCACCCTTAACGCAGCCTTGTTGTCAGCATCAAATGCAATAAAGACACGCAAAAAGTACAATGATCTGACCCGATTATTTTGTAAAATAATAATTATAGTTGTGTACGGCTGAGGTAATACGGATTTATGTTATGTGTGAAATAACTGCCTTGATAAGGATGTCGAATTTTATTTTCAAAAATATATCATTCTACTAGATTTCCATAATGTACTTATGAAGTGTTACGTGTTTGTAAGAAACATGTTCTTTTGCATCTTTCATATATAAACCATCAAAATAAGGTAGACGTTCGAATCCTACATGTATATCATTTATGTATTTCTGGAATATTATACTGATAACAAAATAAAGTGTAAACTAAGGTAGACGTATTCCTGAAATAGTCATCTGGTATGAGGAGTAAATGTTCTCATGCAGTGATAGCAGAGCAGGAACAAAATCTTCACGTATACAAAACAGAATTTTCTTGATATTACATGCAATAACCTAGTTGTGTTAAAAAATAATTTCAGCAATAATCAACACCTTAAGTAGGTCGATGCGGAAAGACAGAGTAAATATGTCTTGCCTGATATGGCCATTTAGCCAATGTTTTAATTATCAGTGATAATATAAGTCAAAAACAATAAAACATTAGGTCTAGAGTATTCTGAAACAGGTGAAGAAAAACAGCAAAGGGAAGAGAAAGATGTATAATCTTTTATCAGGTTTAAATATGAGACACACTGACAGACTTTCTTTATTTCCTCCTTTTAGAGATTGTACATGGATCATGCCTGAATATACATTGTATACATGTACATACTCATAGTAGCTTCGAAGTCACCGCCAACTAAGGATACGGACAGTCACCGCCAACTAAGGAGACGGACAGTTACCGCCAACTAAGGTGACGGAGAGTAACCGCCAACTAAGGTGACGGATAGTCACCGCCAACTAAGGAGACGGACAGTTACCGACAACTAAGGTGACGGATAGTCACCGCCAACTAACGAGACGGACAGTAACCGCCAACTAAGGTGACGGATAGTTACCACCAACGAAGGTGACGGATAGTTACAACCAACTAAGGAGACGGACAGACACCACCAACTAAGGAGACGGACAACAGGAACCGCTAACTAAGGAGTCGGACAGTTACCACCAACGAAGGAGACGGACAGTCACCTCCAACTAAGGAGACGGACAGTCACCGCTAACTAAGGAGACGGAGAGTAACCGTCAACTAAGGAGACGGACAGTTACCGCCAACTAAGGAGACGGACAGGTACCGCCAACTAAGGTGACGGATAGTCACCGCCAACTAACGAGACGGACAGTAACCGCCACCTAAGGTGACGGATAGTCACCGCCAACTAAGG